CACACGCACACGTATGTGTGTGCACACACATGTTCATATTGTTTAGCCCCGTCTCCAAAAGGTACATGCAAATGCTTAAAAACTAACATTTCCCCCAAATCGGCACTGTCTGGTATGCAAGCACAGCGCTAAGGGTTTGGTGCCTTGGTCATCACACATCTGCTAAGCCCCTCTCAGGGCAGGGCCCTCGAGTTCCACAGATGAGAGTCAATCCAGTTCATTTTGCCTTCCAATCTCCCGCAGTCAACAAACACAACTCTGAGCAAAAAAGGTGAAGCCCCTCCTTGCTCTGGAGTCTACAAGATGTTCTTGAAGCAACAGTGACAAACACTCAGACCCTGGAGAAAGAGGAGGACCAGCTCTTCCAGTGGTGGCAGCCACAGCTTCCTGCAAGGATGGAAACGTCCTCTCTGTGAGTGGGGCCACCGGCCACATTCAACTACTAAAATGCAGCTTGCAGGGTCAGGGAACTGAATCTTTCGTTTCATTTCAGTTTAATTAATTTTAACCTAAACAGCTACACATACTTAGCAGCTACTACGCTCCACAGCACCAGTCTACAATGAGGCTATCTGTAACTCAACTGCATAGTGGCTTAACTAGCCCTCTGGGAGGGCGCTGGGGTGTGGAGACCATCAGGCGGGAGCATTTTGGATTTGGGGAAACCCTCCCCCACTCAGGAGGCCTTGAAGAAGCAGCCACATTCTCCCCAGATAACATCTCAAAAGTGACAGAGTGCTTACTGAAGCTCATTCCAATGACAATTAAAGACACACATACCACTTCCCCCTGGAACTCAAGACATTCTAGAGGACGAGCCACTTAGTATAATTAGGCTAAATTTTTTTGTAATTATTTCCTTCCCTTTGGCTTTTGATTTTTTGCTTCTTTCAGAGACAGAACTTTAAAAAGAAAAAAACAGACATCCCAAAAATGGTGCAGACCACACCAACACAATTCCCTATTTTTGAAAAGCTTTCTGAAAATTCCCAACATTGTTCAACAATTCTTTGGCCACTCTGTTAATATGATTTTAAACAGATCACACCCCAGACATATTTCATGACAACTGCACAGGCAAGCAGAGCTGTCCCGCCCTTCTTTCCAACTTGGCAAGGTCCTCGACAAAACCAAATAAATACACACTAGAAGAAAGAGGCTGGTACAAACCCCAGCCAGTTGCAGCCATAATTAATGGGCTGGAGCTACTCTTGTTGCTTAGATTTTTACTTCGAAACTCAAGAAGCCAGCACTACCCACTGAACTGCGAACATTTCTGTTACAGCACTGCAGTCGAACGACACAAAACCAAAGAACCCAGAGGGTCACTGAGCAGCGTTTTCAAAACTAGTCCTTTTCAACCCAACTGTCCTTTCACGAAATTGCTACTGCCCACCCGAGCAAAATCCAGACTTAACCGGCAAAGCTTCCTCTGAAAGCAGAGCCCCTGGTTACTTCGCTTTGAAACCTTTCATGCATGATACTCATGGGGTCCACTTGGCAGTCACTGCAGGGTCCCCAAAGAAGGAAATCTCTTAATGATAACTTTCTTTACCAGGAACAGAGTCACAGCCGGTAAGGAGCCCCCCGTGGGGCACAGCAGGGTAAATCCAGCCCTTCTGCACGTGGTAACCACAGGATGCTGGGGGAGGGGGGGAGGCCTATGGGGGGGCCCCTGGGGAATGGACCAGATAAACACCAAAAGGCCTCTGACATCAATGAATGATTTAGAAGATGGTTATAAACCCGGGGTAGGGATAACACTCAGTAGGCCACTTTCTTTTCCCTGACTACAACTTGGAATTGAGCACTTAGAGCTCTCCCAGGGAAAAGAGTCACAGAGTACACAAACTTCCTGTACTTAATCAGACTGGCCGGGGGGCCGAACACAGGGAGGCCAAGCCCCTCACACCCTGTCTCCATTTCAATCATAATGATAACTTTCCACATCCTGGCCTCCCGTGGAATGCATTTTAAAGGCGCGCCACTTCTCCAGTTGAAATCTTGCTTTAGAAATCCCCCTTTAGGGGATTAATCTTCCCTACCAACCAGATGGGCCGTTCCCCTACTCCTGCATTTCTATCCCATTGATCTTGGAAAAGATTCCAACGGCAAGAGCGGCGTTAAGCCCAGACTCTGCCAGGCTAAAATGTCTCAGAGGTTAAACCGAGGCTGCACGTTTACGGGGAACACGTAATTCACCACAAATCACACCATAACAGAGAGTGACACACAAACGCCAACTGTGGCTGTACTTTGACCAAAGAGAAAAAAGGTTTCACAATAAAAACAGAAATGCAATATCACATTGCCTCGTAAACGGGCAGATCACCCTCACCAAAAACTCCCCCTGGTAAACGCATATTTTTAAACCCATGTTGCTTTTTTGCACGCAGAATATCAAGCAGATTTCTTGTCCATTTTCTAACCATGACTTGCTTTACTAAGGAAAAGTTCAGCCTCCCTGATGAGAGCCACTCAGCAGTCTCCCACCGCAGGACACAGCAGCTTACACCGGGGGTCCCACGGCCGGCTTGTGCAGGGTCTCAGGATGGCGTTCTCCATCACGCAGACGCAGGGTTAAACTCACTCCCACCGTTAAAAACGGAAACATTTCAGATGTGTGCTGCTTCCCTGCTTGGTACACAGCCATAATAAGAAAAACATGTTGCCTTGCTATATACACAAAAACTTTTCTTTTTCCACAAAGTCTTCTTATTCAAGATGTTTTCGTTTATTTCCTTCTAGAAGGATCACTATCATTATTTATTATGACCACCACTCCAGGGATCTGGGCCAGAAGTAAACACTACTCTGTCGATATGGGGGGGAAGGAGGACCCCCAAACCCCCACTCGCAGCACGTCCCAGCCTACCCTACCTAGAAGGGGCACATAGTCCGCAATCGGTATTCATCTCCTTAGAGAACAGAGCCTTCTATAAATATGCAGAATAAGAATTTACATATCCTTTTAGAATAAATACCCGTTCCCTGTTTTCACATAGCAACTCACGTTTAGTGTACAAAATACACTCAAATTACAGGGATCCCTCTTCACAGGAGAAAAGATGCCTAACACTCAAATCTCCTGTAATCACAAAATTGTTCTTATATCTTAAATATGGATGATCGTATTCTTTGAATTTTCACTTAATCTAGCATTCCAGAAGGAAGAGAATTATAAACAGCTTTCCTACTCCCTCCCCTATAGAGGTTATTATTGCCTTACTGGAAAAAAGAAAATTAGGGTCCAAAAATTAAGTAAATTGACTCTGGATTGCTTTGTTCCTCAGAGATTTCTTAAATTCGAACGGAAAGGAGGGCAATGTTTCAACTTCTCCACCCTGAAACGCGAGCAACTTTCCCGGTCTTGTTAAGACCTCGACGTAAGCAGGAGACCCCTCACCTTTCCTGCTTCGCCCCCCTCGAATTCCTGCCTACGGCACCTCCCCCGCAAACGCAACCCAAACCGCCCGCAGCCCCACGTCTGGGAGCCCGAGTTTGGCGGAGGAATTAACCCCGGCGTGGCCGCCAAGCAAACGCTGCGCGAGCGCACGTCGAGTCCCCGGGTTTTAGCCCCCTCCTGTCCCCCTCCCACAGCGCAGCAAGAGGAGCCTGACTCTAAAGGGCAGAGGGGCTCCTGCGGGGCTCTTGCGGGGCCAGGGATGCAGAAATCCACAGGGATGTGGTGGAATCCCACAGACTGACTTAGAATGTCCTACCTCACTCACCTTTTCAGCCTGCACCCTGAGCGGTTTATGCTTTAAGGGGCAGAGACATAAATGCAAACCCCCAGCCAAGTCAAGTAACCAGGAATGTTCGACGTGATCAGCATCTGCTTGAACGGCCCCCAGGAAAGGCCGCCCAGCATTCCTGATTCGGAGCACCGGTCCCTGGAGCACAGTGGGCAGTAGGGCTGAGCCCCCCCGCCCCCCGCGCCGGTCCCCTAATGCTCACCTGCCCGCAGGAATGCGGGGAGGGGGTGCGCGATGCATGCGGTGGGCGACGCTGGAACCCACTCACGGGTAAGGCGGCGGCTCACATCTCTAGGACTTGAGGCGAACCTCCTCGGCCTCCAAACCTGGCGCACCGCCGCCCTCCCCACCATCAGGGTGCCCAAATCCGGCCAGGCGGCGCGCGGGCTGGAGGTGCTTCCCGGTCAGGCCGATGTGGGCCAGCGCAGCCTCCACCCACCCCAGGCCGGTCCCGCGCGCCGCCTCTGAGCCTCGCCGCAGCTCCTGCGCGCCCCGGGGTCCACGGAGCCGAGCGCACGCAGGGCCCCCGGGGGACAGGGGGTGCCCCTCGAGGAGAACGACACCCAGGAGCTGAGCCCGCCCTCCAGCTGCGCCTCGTCCCTGGTCCCAGGTCTAAGGGTGCAGCCCGAAGGCGGCTTGGCCCCCAACAGCCCAAAAGCAGCCCAAGGACCCCCGACCCCAGGCACAGGAAACGCTGCCTCGGCCTCCTCCCGGAGATGGGGGAGGGGGAAGAGGACCAACAAAAGGGAAGCCAAGGACCCTTCGACCCAGAGGCAAGGGGTCGGGAGCCCCCTTCCCCGGGCCTCGTCCGACCGTGGCGCCCACCCTGGGGGCGACTCCGGGGCAGATGGAGGTCCCGGGGGCCGGGAGTCCTGGAAGGGTAACCTTGGGGAGTAGGGCCGAGTCAAGGGCCTGAGAACCTGGGGACACGTCGGCGGAGCCCGGGCCGGGCCGCATCCACACTCACAACCCTCGGAAACCCCCGGCGAGGGGCGCCCCGCAGGCGCCGGGGCCGCCCGCCCCGGCCTCTGGAAACACTTAGCCGTCCCCAGAGCGCGCCTTATTGGAAGCAGCCCCGGGCGGCGGGGCGCCGGGCGCGGGCCGGGGAGCCGGAGCGAGGCGGGCGCGGGGGGGCCTGCCAGGCGCCCCTCGCTGGGGGCACGGGCGCGGAGGAAGGGACGGACGCACGAGCCGCGAGCCTCCCCCGGCGCACGGAGGCGGCAGGCGCGGGGCGGCGGGTCCTACCTGAGGTCCGGGGCACGGAGAGCAGGAGCGCGGCGGCCGCCCAGACGGCGGGGACGCACAGCAGCGGCAGCGCCGAGCCCCGGGCCATGCCGCGGGCCGTGCGGGCCGGGGCGCGGGAGCCACCACCCCTGTCGGCCGCGCGTCCGCTGCTCTGTTTCCCGGGCGCTTCGCAAGTTGGTCCCTTTCGAGGAACTCGTGGCGCTCCTCCTCTCCCGGCCCGGATGCGCCGCGAGGCTCCGGCCACGGCGCGGGCTGGCGGCGAGGCTCCGGGGCGCGGGCTCGGGCGTCCCGCCGGCCGCCGGGACGAGCGCGGGGGGCGGACTGCGGGCGCGCAGGAGGCAGGGTCCCCGGCTCGCCCGCCCCGATGGGCAGCGCGAGACCGGCGCCGGCGCCCTCTGCCGGAGGGACGCGCCTGCGGCGGGCGGGGCGCGCGGGAAGCTGGGGGCCGGCACCGGGGGCCGCCGCTCCCTCCCCGGACGTGCCTCCGGCCTGCGCCCCAGGACACTTGGCCGCAAAGGTGGCGCCTTGGGGGCGTCCAGCTAGACCTGGCCCGGGCTGCCCTCGCCGCAGAGGCGCCCGGAGCAGTTAGCACCCACCTTCAGGGGGCGGGACCCCCGGAGGCCTGGTCACAAATCAGTAACTCAGGACGACACTGCGCCCCGCCAGCCTCCACTGGGGCAAATCCGCGGCGCGGGAGCAAGAGAAGCGAGGGCTTGGAAAAAAGAAACGTTTAAGGAAAGAAACAGGCTGCGTCCCCGCCGGCGCCCTCCGGGACAATCGCGTCCCTCCACGATGCTCAGAAACCGCTGGGAGTGCAGCTGCGTGAAGGGAGCCCTCAGGAGCGCGATGCTATCTGAAGCCACTGCGGCTTTTGGTTGACTGTTAAAAGCAAATTGTATAATTTTACCTATTAAAGGCAGAACACTATTTGTTCTCTGCAGAGCCCCAGAACATGCAGAAGTAATTTGCTTCACTTGTAAAAGACATTTTGAACGCAATTCAAATAGCATATTTTCTTGCTTATTCTTGGTTTCGCTTAACACGTGCCAAGGTCTGGAATTGGAAGGCCTGACCCTCCTGTTTGTAAGTTAGGAATTTTCTTTGTTTTTGCTCTCTTGGAGAAAGGATTTGGAAGCTCCAGCGTCTCCGTTGTTTGTTTTGTGAGATTTATCTTTTAACTGATTATCAGGCAGATTGTTGGGCGTTTTTTGCTCAAGCACCATTTCCTGCTAGTTGGGGTGAATTAGGGAGAGCCCGGGCCTTGGGTGCGAGACCCTGAGGCGGCTGAGCTTGCCCCCCTGGAATTGACCCTCCACCACCTCTCACAGGGCAGGAAATACAAGTTCGCTTGCTGGGGTCTGCTGACAACATGGCCGAGCCAGCCCCGGCCATTACCCCTGTTAAAATTATCAAGGCCTCTCACTGTCTCTGCCGAATCTGTTTGGGGGAACAGCCCACACAGTTCTCATTCCTAATGCAGACCGGAGAGCCTGCGACTGTGACTGGCCAGAGGCCGCCGGGGATCCAGGGGGAAAAGGGAGACGATGGTAAAATCATTATCCAGACGCGCCCCCCAGCCCGGCGCACAGGCCGTCCTTCTGCCGCGCTGGTGCCGCTCTCCTGGGGGCTGTTTAAGAACTGCCAGGTGTTTATCTTTGGGTTTTTCTTCCCTTGGGGGCCCTCAAGGATGCTTTAAGAGTAAATAAGGCTTTAAGAGTTGGTCTTGAAGCACTTAGTTCCAGACTCCGCCATTCTGGATCTAGTGAAAACCAGACCTGGCGGCAGCAAGGGTCCTGGGATCCTTGCCCTCAAAAACCGGTGGGTCAGCACCGCTTTGTCCCTGACACGGGCCTGTCCTCCTGTGGCGCTGCACTGCATGTGGCTTGAGGCGGGAGTTCCAGAACCATACGGTCAGCAGCTCTGCCTTTATTCTCGGTGTGAACCTAGGGGAAATGACCTAATCACGCCTCAGCAGCTCATCTGTGTGCAATTTTCCATGACTGGGTTCCTCACAAACCTGACCCCAGAGTTTAAACAACAACATCGATTTTTGCTGACAGTTTCTTGGGTGGGGTCAGAAATGTGGGTTATATCACATATGATTCCTTAAAGCTTTTTAAAAATTATCTTTTCAGCATTTCTCTTTCCCCAAATTTTCCCTACCTATAACTCCAGCCGGCTCTCCCCTGTCTCCCCCTCACTCCGTCCTTCCTCCCCTTTCTCCAGGTTCAGAACTGAAGGATAAACACAATAAGTTTATCTTCATAAATGAGAGGGGCCAAAATAGGCGCTTTCTAAGCAGTTAGCAGAATGTAGCTTAGGTCCAAAGCCAATTACAGCCACTTGTTCCCCCCACCTGTATTAGTTATCGATTGCTGCATAAATATCACGCCAAACCTAACAGCTTAAAACAGAAAACTTTATAATTTCACGTGGCTTCTGTGGGTCAAGAATGCAGGAGAGGCTTATCGAGGTCTGGCCCGGGGTCAGCTACGAGGCCGCAGTCAGACCTCAGCCAAGGCTGCATCAAAGGCTTGACCCGGTCCGGAGGGTCTTCACAAGGCAGCTTGCTCACACGCCTGGCAAGTTAGTGCTGAGGCGGGGCAGGAGGCCTCCAGTCCTCGATACAGGGCTCCTTGAGCATCCTCACAACAGGGCAGCTGGCTTCCCCAGAGAGAGAGCCAGGTGGCAGCTGCGATATCATTTATAACTCAGCCTTCAAATTCACGCACAGCCATTTCCGCAGTATCCTGTTGTGTCACCTGCTGGCACTCTTCGTTTAAGAGGGGACTACAGAGAGGTGTGTACACTAGGAGACTGACCGCTTACATGGAGCACAGCCGTGCTGGCCTCAGGACAGGCAAGAGGGCCAGGAAATGAGCGTGGTGTGTGCCAGCAAGAGTGGCAGGAAGATGGTAGGCACCCATTGAAGGCTTGAGAGGGAGACGCAGACATCTGGGGAAAAACCTTCCTGGTGCAGTGTCTGGCCAATGTCAAGGCTTCAAGGCCGAGGGGTCTGAGGGTATCTGAGGAGCAGCCTATTGGCCACCTGCATACCTTCTTTTGTGAAATATCTGTTCAAATCTTTGCTCCTCTTGCAACTAGGTTGTATATCTCCTTATTTTCAAGAGTTCTTTACGTGTTTTGGATGTAAGTTCATTTCAGGCAGATAAAGCTGTAGATACAGATAATATTTTATCCCAGTCTCTGGCTTGTCTTTTAATATTTTTTAACCGTGTCTTTTCATAAGCAGCTGTTTCTCATATTGATGAGGTCCAATTTATCAATGTTTTCTCTTATAGGTAGTGCTTTTTGAGTCTCACTAAATGCTAGATCAGACCAAACAAAATCAGTGAGAGTGGAGTCTTGTGCATACCAAACTTTGTGGAAAGTAGGTGCCTGCAGTCCACAACCCTCTGCCTGTCGGGCTTTTGTGTGGAATACACGCTCATCCCTGTGAGGGGATTTTTCACTTGTTCATTTCTTTTTCAGTTGGGAAAATCCTCAACTGAATTATACCCTTCTGCTCTACTAGCAGCGAGTGATACAAAAGTCCAAGGACAAAACAAGATAATAGCCCAGCTTGTCAAACAAGATGGTCCGTTTCCCAGCCAGCCCTGGGGGCCTAGTGGTTCACGTTCGGTGCACTCTGCTTTGGCGGCTCAGGCCTGGTTCCCGGGCACAGAACCATACCATTTGTCTGTCAGTAGCCATGCTGTGGTGGTGGCTCACACAGAAGATCTCGAAGGACCTACAACTAGAATACATAACTGTGTCCTGGGGGTTTAGGGAGAAAAAAAAGATGGTCCATTTCCTCTCTCCACTCTCCTTGCCAGTCCTGAATCCTCATCCTTGTCACCTGCCTCTCCACCATGTTCTACTGGTTTTACCTTCTGCATGCCTTCTGCCTACTGTCCTCTCTCCCCATTGCCAGCACCCTAACTCAAGATAATCTCATCTTTTGCCTGGATAAGAGCTTCCGTACTAGTCTCCCCATTTCTATCATCACCCAGCTCCAGTCTGCTCTCCACACACATATGGAAAGATCTTTTAAACCCAAGTCTAACTACGTTGCTGCCCCATGGCTTGCTAGTGCTCTCAAGTCAAAGATGGAAACCTTTACATTACATAAAGGATCTGACCCATATATGCCCAGCCTCATTCTGCTCCAGTCCTTGCTCATTTCCTCAAGAAGCCAAGTTCCCTTCCACATGGGGCCTTTCCACAAGCTCTTCTTTCTGCTTGGAACATGTTCTCCCTGACTTCCTTCACTTGGGTACCTTCTACTCCTCCCTTCGGCTGTCACTTCCTAAGGGCTGCTGCCTCTCCCTCCATCACCCCACGATGATCACGGATCCATGCAGACAGAGCCTAGGGCCCCCTGGAGGCACATTTCACAGTTATAATCTTACCCGTATGATGCAAGCTTATTGATTGAGGTCTGTTTTCCCTAATGGTCTGAAGCTCCATAGGAAAGCAGCCTGTGTATCCCCACCAATGCCTGCGATGTGGTAGCAGCATATGTAGGAGGGAGGCTGGGAGGCAGGAAGTAAGGCAGGAAAATGCTCATGTGTTGAACTCTGATTTAGGACAAATACAATAAATTCTTCATTTACTGGCCCAGTGCCTTTCTCTCTAATGTGTAGCGAATCTTTACAACATAATGCTAGCAGGTTCTCCATTTCACACTTACATCACTGAATGAATTTTTTTATAGGCTTATCCTGAAATTACACATCCATCCAAAACTACAATGGCTTTGTAAAGTATATTTTATCTCAAACCATTTATGTCTACATACAGCTTAAATAGGCTTTCTGGTTTCCAGAAATTCAGATTCAGGTACGATGGAACAAAGATTCCAGTTTTCACCACTACGTACAAACTTTAGAAGTTCACAAAGCTTGAGTGCAACCATTATACCAAAGAAACTTCATCTTAAATTTCCAATCTTTATGTCAAGAAATGAGGGCAGTGGGAAGACTGGCAGGAAACAATACCTTCCTTTGTCGCTTGTCTTTTTTTTTTTTTTAAAGATTTTATTTTTTTCCTTTTTCTCCCCAAAGCCCCCCAGTACATAGTTGTACATTCTTCGTTGTGGGTCCTTCTAGTTGTGGCATGTGGGATGCTGCCTCAGCGTGGTTTGATGAGCAGTGCCATGTCCGCGCCCAGGATTCGAACCAATGAAACACTGGGCCGCCTGCACCGGAGCGCGCAAACTTAATCACTCGGCCACAGGGCCAGCCCCTTGTTGCTCGTCATTTTGTCCGCAAATGATCCCCACCTGGCAGGTGGTCATCTTGAGGAAGCCACTACTAGTTGGAGCTCTGGTCTGAATCTCCTTAATCATGTTAAGAGGTCTTCTTCCTCTC